CATAAAAAAAAATATTGTAACGTTACATTGTCGATAAATCCTTAACAAGAAATATTGTAACGCTAAAATCGTTAATAAACTTTGATCATTTTTGTAAAATTGAATGCCACTTTAATCGAAATGTAAAATGGTTAAAACTAGAGAGCTTAAGCCAGAAGAAAAAGGCGGTATTGTTGCTTTGTTAAATAATAATTTTATAAATGCTCAAATTACAAAAAGAATTAAAATACCTGATAGCATAGTTCGTTAATTTATTAAAAATATAAAAAACGGGAAACGTTGAAAATTAACCATGCCCTGGGCGGCCTCCTATAGCTACAAAACGGAAAAATCGATTACTTATTCGTGAAGTAATGAGAAATAGACGTGCTCCTTTACGGGAACTAACATCCAATGTTGGTTTTAATGTTTCAACAACGACAGCTAGCAATTATCTTCATGAAGCTGTTATTAAATCTCATGTAGCAGCTAAAAAGCCATTTATTTCAGATGAAAATCGAAAGTAACGACTCATTTGGTATATAGAACATATTAATTGGAATATATCAGAATGGAATAATATTATCTGGTCTGATGAGTCGAGTGTAGAAATTGATGAAAGTTCTCAAGTTGGTGAACGGTATAATTTAATCTGTTTAAGACCTAATTTTAAAAGTGGACGTAAATATGTTATGGTTTAGGGTTGTTTCGTAAGTAATAAATTGGGACCATTAGTAATTTGTGAAGAAGGGCGCATGAATTCTGATGACTATATAAAAATTCTTAATGATCATCTCAAGGAATTTAAAGCTGTTATAGAAACTGAATTTGGCACTACTTTCGTATTTCAAGATGATAATGCCAAAATTCATACTGGTAAAAAAACTCGTGAATGGAAAGAAAAGAATAGGATTATATCGATGCCTTGGCCAGCTCAATAACCAGATCTCAATCCAATAGAAAATCTTTTGAAAATTTTAAAAGATAGAATTCAACAACGTAAACCATTTCCAAATACAGTACAACAGTTAAAAATAGCCTTAAATGAAGAGTGGAGCAAATTGAATCTAATACTTTATCCAATTTATTAATAGTATGCCCAAGCGGGTTGGAATGGTAATTGAAGTAAAAGGTGGACATACGAAATATTAAAACATATTTTTATATTCTTATTGGATAAAGTAAATATACAAATTGATAATAAAGCTTTAAAACTTGTTAAAGGTGTTTAATTAATTGTTTGAATTTAAACAATTTACTATAAATTATAAAATTACAAAATCGCGAATACTTTCTTGGGCTACTGTACTTTAAACATCGAATCCTTATTTATTATGAAGCCATGAATGATTTTTTTGTGCAATTAATCAACAGAATTATTATGCTAAATAAATAAAAGAATCAAATGGAAGGAACAGCCTCGCAAGATTTCACATCATCCGCATAATAATTCTTTATACCAGTTATATAGTTCTATGTAAAAGATTTTGAATCATCTTTGTGTATTTCAGTAAGTGGAAACTTATTAAATTAAATAGCATTTCTTTTTAATTATTTAACTAGGTAACGGGAACCGTTTGCAATTCCGGAGCGTTAAAAACACAGCCCATTTTAGATTCACGTGATAAATTAATTCGTAATAGATCGGCAGTGAAACAATGCGTGCCAATAAACATCGACTCATGAGACAAGTGGACGAACATCGGGACATCAAAGCGCATAAAACATATAGTCATTCGCTAACGCTCCGGACTAATAACGAGTGTAATTTTTGAATATAACAATTCAAAAGTTTTTAAAACTTTTTATTTTAAATGAATAATGAAAATGAAATTCTAAAGAGTTTCGTAACAATAAATAGCTACTATAAGTAGCTATTATAAAAGTACCGTGGATTCATATCAATGCTTAAAAGTAAAATATTAATTATGATAAGTTAGATAAATTGTAAAAGAAGTTAGGAAGTTCGCTTTACCAATTTTGTGATATGCATAAACTTTCGTAACATTTTCACGATAAAAACTTTTTATTCCTCAAATCTATATAATTTGTAAGCTTCGGATGTGGCGCATCTAACCGCAACTAAGATCCATTTAGGCTAAGTCTTTCGCGGAGACAATGTAATCTGTTAATTCTATATTTCATGTTACACGATGTGGCAAAAATAATATACATTAGTTGAATTTATCAAACCGGAATCATTTTCATTTTTCTGTAAACTTTTTGTTGTACGAAGTCGATTATTGGTCGGTTGGTCCATTAATCACACAAAATTAAAAATGTAATTTTTCTCTATTTATAATCACTACTTACCAATATTATGTTTCTTTTTAATAAAAAGGACACAAGAACTGCGTGAGAGAATAATTCTGTCGGGCTAAAAATACAAATCACCTTGGAAGTCAATGTATTACCATAAAGTTTTTCACTCCCACGTGATTATTGGCCGGCATTATATAACTTGACGAAATTAAACAAGTGACAAATAACGCAAGTAGAGTTTGCAAATAAAGTCGTCGAATGGGCAATACACATTTTTTATAATAAACATCGTGGACATAGTCTGATAAATCTTAATATTCCTTCCGACAACACTTTAAAAAATCACATGAACATTATCGATAGAAAAAACCATCATACCGGTAAAAATAAAAAGTGCAATTTATTTTATGCAAAGATTTGATGAAGTAAATGACGAAAACGCAAGAAATTCACTGTGCAAATATAACATCTTTAATATCAAAATTTTCAGAATGGACATCAGGAAATAATAAAATTAATAATTTAATACAGGATTTTCAGTCGACAGCAGTTCCTCCATATAGAACAGTTGAATGGATCCCATATAATAACATACAAAATATTGAATATTTAACTAAAGGTCGGATTACTTCATTTTTACTCAATAAAAACCTTTTGCTTACATTTAAAATTGTTTATACATAAACGAAAGAACTGAACTTCAAAAAAAGATCTACCAAGACTAGCCACAATTATCGAAAGCAATTTACGAGCGTAAATCGTGATCTTTCGGGCGG